TACTGCTAGGAATTACAAGCTAACACTATCTGGGCTAATGGGGCCTCAGGCTAGCAAGTTAACCTTGAATGATTAGAAAAAAATCTTGACACTCCTTTTGCAGTGTAAGCTCTAAAAGAGCTTAAAATTAAATCAAAAGAAAAAACTTTTAATTGTAAGTGAAAAAAATTACCTATCCTTTCAGATTCATCTATTTCATTTGTAAAAATCTGTTTTTCTCATTTGTGAAAAGTAAACAATCTAGAAAAATGGATATATTAGGCAGCATAAAAATTAAGATATTTTGTGTATCAAAGGATATTTCTAAGGATATGGAAAGAATGGGAGAAAAAAATTGCATATCATATTTCTGATAAGGGATTAATATCAAGAATCTATGAAAAACCCTTACAATGCAACAAACAGCCCACTCAAATATTGTAAAAATGGGTAAAGGAATTGAATAGATAATTCTCCAAAAGGGCTGGCTAAATAGCTCAGCGGATTAAAGCACCTGCAAGCAGGTGCAGGGACCAGGGGTTAGATCCCTGGGCCTGCCATGCCGGCCCCACCCCTGAGGTGCGCTGAGATGGCAATTGAGACTTGGCGTGGTGGCACACACCTGTAATCCCAGCCCTTGGGAGGCTGTAAACAGGAGGATCACTATGAGCCTGATCTAGTAGGGAGACCCTGAACACCCTGTAGACCCTTCCCTAAAATACAAAAAGAAATTCTAACAAGCAAACAAGAAAATGCTTGATAAGATTCCATTTCATATTGTAAGGAACAATTATTACTTAATTTTCTTTTTACTTTCTTCTTTTTTGCCAATTTTGCATGCTTATATCTGATAAGCTGAGTGACTAATTTGAAGACAATATGCAATATAACAAATATTGTTGAATTCAGAAAAAGAAAAAATATTTTATTTCAAACTTACTAGTATATCTTTAATCAAAAATGTAAAAAATAATACATGTTAGCAGGGATATATAGAAGTAGGAATTTTCTTTTATGTATATATATTTGGTTGTTGCAGTCTCACTGCACAGCTTGGACTTGTGGTGATCCTCCTGCTTTCAGCCTCCCCAGCACTGGGATTACAAGCATGTGCCACCACGCCTGGACTCTGGCTGTCTCAGCCCACCCAGGAACAGAGCTGGTGCAGCCAGCGGTACCTGGGATCGAACTGTGGTCCCTACACTTGCCTAAGCTTACCTAGGCAAGCGCTTTAGTCTGCTGAGCTATCTTACCAGCCCCGAAGTAGGGATTTTCATGCAAGGTCATTGGGCACAAAAAATGGTGCAGGCACTCTGCAAAACAGTGTGGCTATTCCTAGGAAGTTAAAGATAGCCTCACTGGATGACTCAGACATTCTGCTCCTAGATCTACACCCAAAAAACAAAAAGATGCTTACACAGAAACTAATACACAGATGTTTATAGTAGTATTATTCGTAATGACAAAAAGGTAGTAACAATCCAAATGCCCATCAATGGATAAAGAAATTGTGACAGGGGGCCTAGGTGGGTGTAAGTGTATGTGTGCATGCTGAGAGCACTATAAGCAAAGGACAGCAGACAAAAAAGCAGCGTATTACAAAATATCTTAGTCTATTTTCCATTACTACAACAAAATACCTGAGATTGAGTAATGTATTTTCAAAATTGTTTAGCTCACAGTTTTGGAGGCTGAGAGTCCGAGAACAGTGAGCCCCATCTGTTTAGCCCCCAGGGAGCACCTCAGGGTGGATGGCTTTGCAGCAGGACAGCAATGAAGACAGATCAAGGGGCGAGACAGGAAGCCTTGGAACCAGGAGGAACTGCTCTTGTTCTTTTACGAACACTTCCTATCGTGGGAACCAATAAAGGTTCTGTGAAAACTATATTAACCTCTCCTAAGGGCAGCACTGTGCAAGACCTAACCACTCCCAGTAACCAGCCTCCTGCACGTAAAGCCTTAAGGGACACATGGCATGCAGAGTGCAGCACACAGCGCTTCCTAGATGACATACAGAATAAGCAAATTCATAATGACAGGAAGCACATTAATGCTTACCAATCAAATAAACAAAAACACTTCCTTCTAAACAATAAAAATCCCAAGACAAAATGGACATTCCCATTGGAAGCACCAGTTGATCTAAAAAAGTACTTATGAGGTTTCATGGGCTTTCTTTGACTCTTTCAAACAGCATGAAATTTGCAAATGGTGACACTGTACTTTCAGGGAAATAATCTACACTTCCCACAGCATTTGCATATCTGTAGCTCTTCTTTTCAAGACTTGGACTTCCAATTAAGTCTCTTCCTGATATTGGACTTTTGTTTAAATTATAATTTTTGGAATTGAGAACATAAAAGCAAGCACGAGGTTAAAATGCAAATAAAGAAGCTTACCAAAGTTCTCACTGAGCTACCAGCTGTGGAGGTACACGTTGGCCATCATGAAACCCAAATGCCTACAGATGTTGCCTCAAGAAACAGAAGATCAATTGTTCAAAATTGAACAATTGGTGAATGAAGGCAGGAGACAGGAAAAGGAATGTTGCGGGACTGTCCTGCTCCAAGGTTGTATATGGTTAGATTTCTGGACTTATGTGTAAACATAAAAATTATCTAATTCTTTATGCCTATTTTTTAAGTATATTTCAATTTTTTAATGTTTTTTCACCATATTCTGTAGGGACTTAAAGTTCAACATATCAATGCTTGATGAAAAATACCTGTTCCATGTTATGCCTAAGATGTTTGATATTCAGACAGATAGTGAGGTTAAGCTTAATAGCCTAGGTCATATGGTAATAACAATAAGCTTCTCTTCTGGAGGGCTAACAACCTAAGTTTGCAGACCAAAATTAGAGAAAAGGGAGGGCCACAAGGAAAGCCAACATTTTGGCCCTAGCCTTCCAATTAAGACTCAGGACATATGAGAACTTGTACTGTAACGTCATGTAACTCAGTAGTGTCCCAAATTTTCTCATCAAGGAGGTTATGAGGTCAAAGAGGAAAGTGATCGATGATGTAGAGTGTGCCTAAGAGTCAATGAAGAAAAAACATTCTCTCAGGTTTTCACAGAGAGCACATTGGCCAAGCAATGGCTGTGACTCATCCACATGGCTTACACTGACAAAAGATCTACGATTTGAGGTACAGGATCTCAGGATAAATCCTGAGGGATTTCACTGACCTTATCAGAACCAAAAGCTACAACCCTTCTTGCATAGGTCTTGCTTTATCTCGGTCTTAACCATCCAGCAGAAAAGTGTAAAAATGAAGTATAAGAAGTAAAGCCATGGTGTTATGTTGAACTGTAGGGGACTCAGGTCAACAATTTCTGGGATTGCCAGTCAAGTGGCAGACCCAATACTATTATGGACTACTGGACTCTTTTAGAATATTTTGCTGAGTTAACACACCTATAATATCCAAATGACGGAACTAAACAAAAAAGGGGATTCAGATGAATGTCCATTTTGTATCTGTGTATTCAAAATGATTAGGATAGATACATAGTTACATTCTCTTAATTAATAGAGGGATTTGTTCTAATAGTGTTTGTAAATAGGGTATCATGTCTGCATCTTGTATCACTAGGAAGAGAGAATGCAATGTGTTAATTATTGAAACTGTCCTACCAATTTGATTTGAAACTGTCTCATTGCTATTTGTTTCTCAATAAAATTATAAAAAAAAAAAGAAAGAAACAGAAGATCAACATCTTCCTTGACAATGTTATGGAGGTAAACTAAGGATCTGAAATAGGACTGAAGATTCAGCTCAGTGGAAAAGCCTGGTATGTGAAAGACACTGAGTTTGACCCCCAGCAACATATATACATACACAATAGACCCAAATACTTACTGACTGATTGATTGATTGACTGACTGACTGACTGACTCATTTTTGAGACAGAATCTTGCTGTGTAGTTCAAGCTAGCTTTGGGCTAACTATGTATCTCAGGCTGACCTTGAACTCATGGTGACCTTCCCACCTCAGCCTTCTAAGTGCTAAAATTACAGGCATGCACCACCATGGCTGGCTAATACTTACTGTTTTATTGTATTTTGTAAAAAATATTCCTAAAGTTTTTAATGTTTGATAGATCAATATGTGTACTATATAAAATCATGCATTAGAGCTGTCCAGATAGCTCAGTGGACTAAAGCGCCTGCTTAGGCAGAGCACAGCAGCCGGGGTTCAATCCCCAGCCTGCCAAGCCAGCCCTGCCCCCGGGGCACACTGAGATGGCAATTGAGACTGGACGTGGTGCTGCGCACCTGTAATCTCAGCACTTGGGAGGCTAAAAACAAGAGAATCACTATGAGTCTGATCTGTATAGTAAGATCCTGTAGACCTTGTACTAAATATAAAAAATAAATAGATAAATAAATAAAATTATGCATTAAGTTACTATTTGAACATACAAATATGACTACTTGTGGTTATCTAATTTTGAAAGCAGTAAGTTCCTCCTTTTTTCTTTTTTTTTTTTTTTCAGAACTGAGGATTGGACTCAGGCCCTTGTGCCTGCCAGAGAAGCGCTTATTCCACTGAGCCATCTCCTCAGCTCCAATAAGTGCCTCTTAAAATAATTTTGGTGATATCATTAGTTATAATTAATTTTGGAAATGTTCTCCTAAAACTAAATTTCTGAATACAATTTGTAACTTTAAACCCAGGAAAAGAATGTTTATGGATAACATATAAGAAAAACAAGCTGTATTTACAAAATGTCGTTGGAGGAGACGGGTCTGACTGCAGTACAGCACGGTTATGACCTTAATAAAAAAGGAGAACCTAAGGATCACCAGGATGGAAGACCAGAAGGAAGAGAAATAGAATTATCTCTCCAGGACTGTATGTCCAACTGGTATTCAATATTGTTAGATATCCCTGAAAGTAGACAAAAGCAACATGAAACAAACAAAAAGAAACTTCCAACTCCTTTACTAATCCTTAGACCAGACAATGGCATGAAAAAAATGCAACACCCAAATTTCATTTATCTTTACCTTTATGTAAGTAATGAACAATATTTTCTGTTCACATCTTACTCTGCCCAAGACAACTTCTCTGTAAGAAAAAACAAGAAAGAAATTGCTGTTGTTACGGTTAGCTTAAGCTCATCTTATAAATTCTACAGTCCAAGGAAAATGTATCTTGGCAAGAAATCCGCATGTGGGATATGACACGACTTCCACTTGTAGAAAGGCTCCTTACCTTTCATAATTGCTGTTAAAGTCTTAATGTGATTATTCCCTTTTCTCTCTACCATGTCACCTTACCTTGAAAGTATTGTGAAATAGGCAAACTCTTTAAAATCTGCATTATGGAAACTATTTGTTTTTACTGATAAGCCGCTAAACACATTCTCCACGAACATAGTCTTATTTGTTCATGTGTTGACAACAAAGAAATACAGATGTTTTTAATGTATTCCTGGGTTTTTTAATATATAAAGTAATCACTCCCAGTCATTCTTAATTTACATACCATGTCTGTTGTGATATTTTTCTTTTGTTGTTCTCGCTAATTGAATATTCATATTTGGTATTTCAAAGCAGAACAAATTTCCTCCTGCATCTGATCCTTTATAGGACTCAGGAACCTTAGATATGTAATGGAGACACGCACACACTGCCAGCAAAAGAAAGACATAGGTAACTATACATGTCAATGTTTAAGCGTTTGCTTAGCTTCCACCTTACTGTTTATTAAACAAATCTGGTCTCTGTTCAACAAGAAAATGCCTACAGACAGAAAACGAAATGAGAAACAACCCACTGAATTAAAACACTCTGCTCAAATCAGTAGGCTTCAGTAATGTAGTCCTCCCTACAATTTTGTAACCTGTGTGGTAGAGGCCCCTTTTAAAAAGATATTTTTGCCAGTCTTTCAGTGATTAGTGTTACTTTATCTCATCATTCCAACAGACAAGGATGGCTGCAAAATAGCTCAAAGCCTGGCTTTCTGGTTGAGTTTCTGTTCACAAAACGTGAAGGATGCCCCTGGAGAATGCTGAGGCAGGAAGTGACTCGCAGATCTCAGTGGAGCGACCGGCAGTGTTTGTTTAACTCCCCGTGTGAAAAGCCAGCCTCCCAGCCCCGCCTCGCCACAGCTGTGACTAAGACCCTGGCTGCCTGAAGCCAAATAAAACGTTGTGCTCTCTTCAGCCAGCTGTCAATCTTTCAACTGGTCGATTCGCAAGTCCTGTTTTCACCATGTGGATCAAAGACGCTGCTTTGGCAAATGTAATTAGCTGGAAAGACTGAGATAAGAAAGGTGGAGTGGGGACAACTACAGGGCAGTGACAGTGCTACCTTGTCAAACTGTTTTGCTGATTAATCAATGTATGATTTTTGTATTTACCTGTAACCTCATATTTATTTTTTTCCATAATTTTATTGAGAAACAAATAGCAATGAGACAGTTTCAAACCAAATTGGTAGGACAGTTTCAATAATTAACACATTGCATACATTCTTC